AGAAGGAGAAGGAGAAGGAGAAGGAGAAGGAGAAGGAGAAGGAGAAGAAGAAGAAGAAGAAGAAGAAGAAGAAGAAGAAGAAGAAGAAGAAGAAGACAGTATTTAAATATTGCCCTGATGAGGTGTGAATTGGATGTTGCTATTTATGTTTCATACCGTTTGACCTTCCGTATGCCAGTGAGAGTCCTGATGGAAAAGCTTGGGCTTTCTGAGTGAAGACTTCGACGGAAGGAAAGATGTAACTACAGTTGAGCTTTCACCCAGATGGGAATTTTAGAGGTTTTTATTTTCATTTTCTTTTCTGTGTGCACTCCCGAATGCGTGTGTGCGTGCGTGTGGTGTATCGGTATTCATGTGCAGCATGTGTGTGACATGCTTGTGGAGGCCTGAGGGTGACATCTTCTTGGGTCGCAGTTTGCTGACACCAGCTAGTGTGGCTTGCCAGGTTGCGCCAGGAATCACTTGTCTCCGACTTCCAAGTCCTGAATTACAGGCTTCGACACCCACTCGGTGTTTATTCATTCTAAGGATGCCAGATCTGAACCCTGATCGCAATGTTTGTGTGGCAAGTGCTTTATCCACTGAGCCCTCTCTCTCTGGTTCATTATTTCTATACTTATCCTCATGTACATGCGTGAGTCCATCTGTAGCGTGGCAAGCCTGTGGAGGTCAGAGGACACTTCCTAGAATCAGATTTCTCCTTCCATCATGTGGGTTCTGGTGATTGACCTCGGGTCATCAGGTTGGGCGCAGGCTCCTTTACCACCCTGTTTCAGATTTTTTGTTTAAGACAGGGTCATAAGCACCCCAGGCCAGCCCAGAACTTGCTGCATGGCCGACGCTATCCTTGAACTCCAGTGCCTTCTGCATCTGCCTCTAAGGGCTGGGGTTACAGGCGTGTGTCAGCATACCCAGCTGGTACTCAGGTTGGTTTAGCATTCTTAATTGTAGTACTAGACAGATTTCCTGCCCGGTAATAGCTTCTTTTTTTTTTTTTAATTTAGCTTATTTCTGGTTATTTGTCCTAGTTGGCTTTCTATTGCGGGGGGGGGGGGGGAAGGAGAAGG